ATGGATGTCAACATTCCTCTTCGAACGAGTGAGTGGTAAGCCGACTGGTAGCAGCGCGCGGCAAAGTGCGCATCGCCGGGCGAGCCGTGGTCAGGCCACACGAAGAGAGGAGCGCCCAGGCGACAGCTGTGGCGATTCCGACTGGTATATGAATGAAGAATTCAAGAAAGGCAAATATGGGCACAGCTTCCGGAAATGAAATCCCGGTATGTGGAAATGGAGACTGTGCGGGAATTCTGTGCTATCCTTCTCTTCAACGCAGATTTGCCCCGTTTGTTCACCATACGAGTCCCAGGCCCTTTCACAACATGATCGAGAAAGACTCGAGCTGGCCTGGTTTCGTTGCCGAACAGAGTATCCTACTAATAAGTATATCCACTAAGTAATGTGTTGCAAAGTGTGTGTGTTTGTGTGTTTGTGTGTGCGTCTGTCTGTCTGTCACGAAATTCATAGCGAGCGTCGCAGAAAAGATAGGATGACAGTTCCAAGAAGTGATATACATGGCAAGAGGGAACACTTTTGGTGGATGAAAGGAAGTGATAACACCAGATAAGATTCCATAACGAGCCTTAGAAGGGAAGGGTGACCGAGTTCGTAGGAGTGTGGAGCAGACAGCGGAACGTAGTATTTATAGAAGTGATATTGCGCGGATGGGACCGAAAACAGTCTTTGCTGTGGGTAAACAGAGTGATGAAATTTGATAAGTATTCGCAATGACTGAGCGCTTAGAAGGGGGAGGGTGACCGAAATCGTAGCAAGTTGCAGCAGCTGCGGGAGCATGATTTCGAGAAGTGATATACACGACAGGGTGGTTGAAAGCGACATCACTCGGGAATCCGCAAGACCGCTTACTGCCACAATGTGACTGATTTGACAGGTATCAGGCTCTCAGTAGTTCGTACACAACTAACTCCTATGCTCTTATCGCTATCGACATCATGTACGACCGCGCAACCGGAGTTCAGATGCATGACGGTTGATTACTCAGTCGCCATGAACAGCAGCAACTGCCTTTATCACTATGACCATGATATCTTCCATCAACAACCTGAGAGAGGACCATTCGAAGCGTTAAACTGCCCGAATGCGGGAGTGCATCCCAGAAAAAAGAAACATACAGTGGTGAAGAACGCATCAGGCGGTAGGATGCTTTGAAGGCTGCTCTTACAGGTTGCTGAATTTTCGTGTGAGGGTTATGGTTTGGTACTATCCCCGAGAAAACAATGGACAATAGGATAGATTTCAACGTTACATTGGGACAACGGTTAGAATTCTACCATAAATAATCGACTATGTCCGTGCGGGCACCTGTTCCCTTTAACACGAAATTCATAGATAGATCCCAGTAGCAGCGAGTTATTGGTTCCAAGATGTGACGTAGACGGTGTGACGGAACGCACCATATTCGTAATGCGGGTCACAGCATCAGCGAGGTGTTGATTCCAACATATGATTTAGGGTATGGGACAGGAACTTTATGGCTGGATGACAAGAACTGTCAGCTGCTGATTCGAGATGTTAGAAGGGTATGGTCACTGAGTCCATCACGCGAGTCACAGCAACAGTAGGAGGTTGGTTCCAGGATACGATGTAGGGTTTAGGAAAGGAACACTAGGTTGGTGATAAAAAACTGCCAGCATCTGATAAGATCGGATAAGAGGCGTCAGGCTCTTTCTTTTGATGTCATTAGAATTTCGGAAGTAACAAAGCGCTAATGCTGCCGTCCCTGGCCATATTCAACTTTAACCAATTGCTCGAGCTATTTTCGATTATTTTTCTACATTTTGCCAAGGAAAGAGTTCCTGGCGAAGAAAGGCCGGCCCGGCGAAGCCGAGCCATGAATGACAAAAAGGAGGAGCACCCAGCGGCAGCCGGGTGATCCGACTGGTATTTGATAAACTGTTAAAAAAAAGTGACTCACATGTTCACGATCCGAAGATGCGGTTCAAGTCCGACTACACTATTGATGATAGATACAACGAGGAGGAGTCGATGCCATCTCAAATTAAAATTCGGAGAGCATTCTTGAGGGAGACCATACCTTTTTAAAGGCAGCGCCCACGTTCACTTGATGTTCCTACGCCCTTTCTGGATATCATAGCCCTCCCCATAACAGTGCAGTATGTACTAGTATTGCATCTCGTGAAGGCGAGAGGATAGCGCTTATCGCTAGTGAAGAGTCGACCCCCCCCCACCTGGCGACCACACGACGCCCAACTTCATTTCTAATGATTGCCCGATGGTGCAATTGTTCTATTGCTGCTTCTCTTCACGTCGTGTGGTGAGAGTGAGGTGATAAGGGGAAACAGCTGAAATCAACAAGTGAGAACTCGTGCAACCATTCCTTCCTTCCGCCTTGAAGAATTTGGCACGACAAATCCCCCCTCTATCCCCCAAAACAACTAGGGATCAATACTTCTGGCACCGCGACCCTAGGCAGGCGCTGCCTAGCGGTTTCCCCGAGGAAAGTGCCCTTATAAGAGCCGTATCACGCCACCACTTTACGTCCCGAACGCCCTTCACGCCCGGCCGCCCACAGATGGACGACCGTTCCTGACGTTCGTATTCATTCATTTGCTAAGCAAATTATGAAGCGAAGGGATTTTTATGAAGCGGCCGTGATGCTGCATACATGGGTACACATATGCAGCCGTATCTTCGGTAGCGGTGATTGGTATGATGCCTACGGGAGACTCGTCCGAAATCGATTTATGAGTCACTGAGACGGAGGCTCTTTCTTCCGTTTCACTAAGTTCTTTCACCATTTCCCCCACTATACAGCCCTACTAGCATTTTAGGCTAAGTAGGAAAGCATCGTGCCAACTGCCTTCAAGCACGTACAACCGCTGTTCGCTGTGAAACTCCTTATAGGACATTTTGCATGTTTTCTTTTTGATTTTTCTTCACTAACAGGTTTCTGCTACCTTGCTACTATTACTATCAGAGCCGCATACTCATCAAATTTGAACGCGGGCTCTGCCTTTTAAGATCATCGTGGGCGACATTACCACTCGATTCGCTCAGGAAGAATAACTGATGAGTCGGTGAGATTTCTCCATTGTCGCCAGCTCTGTCGCTCCTATCGAAAACTTCAAGCGAGTTTTTGCGTAATTGCATGAAGTTCCGTCCTCCTTCTCATGTCGTCTCGCTTGGTTCCAAGTTTTCTAAGAATGCCAGCAGGGTCGCAGTCGTGAGACGACCCACTTCTAGGTAACAGATCTGTTTCTCTCCAGTTCTGGACAACTATGGTGATATATTTGCCCGAAGCAGGTGCGTACCAATTCTCTATTCCTCACTTGTGCAGCCATTGCTTCGCTGCCGCCAAGAGGGAAAAAGATGAGATGCCGGATCGCTGCTACTACAAAGCTGTAAATTGCGAGACACAACATGACCATCACCCTGCTATAAGCACAAGTCTGGTCATCCACTACCCGCCCCACCGCGCGATCAGCCCACGACTGAGTTGAGTTGACGGAAAGTGACGGAATAAAACGATTTTAAATTCCCATGGAAACCGACATGAGAAACAGAACAGCTCAAGTGTTCGACTAACTAAGCTAGAAGAGCTGAAGAACGATTGATTATGATAATCATATGAAGTGCACTTATAGTGCAGTTCACTGCGGACGGTTGAGCGTGTCAGGCAGTATGAGTATGTTACGCCGTCAGAGCCGTTTTCCCTTGTTGAAGAGCACATGAGGCAATCAGTATGTAAAACGAGTAATACAAAGACATAATGCGGTCTCATCATTTGATCGCTTCAACAACTGGTGGAGGACGCTTTTGGCACAGTGCCAAACCCATCCCGCATAACCTGACACGCCCAACCGTCCGCAGCGTGCAACACAATACCATTGTATGAACAGTATTTTGTAATGTAAATGAAACGAATTGAAAGGAAATCTTTTATCGAGCCGTAGAGAATATTGAATGAGTGAAACGTACTGAACACATATCCGACGAGAATGTCTTACAAACGCACGACTATCTAGAGGAAATCCACATAATGCCAATTGTAGGCAATACACAAACGCGCGGAACGGTAGCAAGCGCGTGTTTTGCTGACAGTTCACGCGGCATTTAGGGTGGTAGCATAAGAGACATATTTCTACGGCAATTATGGCGCGTATGCTGAAAGGACTAGAGTCGCGTTTACATCGGCTCAAGAACTGCATTGTGAACGGCGTTCCATGAGATTCTTAAGCTCCAAGTTTTCTGATCGTCCTCCAGATCAATTGAACTGACGATCAGTGATGGGTGATCGTGCAGAAGAAATCTACAAGATCGCGCAAATTACCACATCTTTAGGAGACCGCGTCCATCGGTCCCGTACTGACATAGATACGGAAGGGAATGCCTTTGCACAAGGGGGGTTTCTTTAGGCTCGTTTTGATTGGAAACCTCTCAGACCCGCCGTGAGCCTCACGGCTAAAACGAATTTATCAGAAACATGTGCTTCATCCTAGTTCTACAGTGGCCTCATATGGTTGACAACTTATTGAGAGTACGCTTTTTTCGAGCTGAAAGGAATTCAATTGAAGAATCTGAAATTAGCGAGCAGTCCAGAGGATTTCACTTTCAAAAGACTCTCGGGCGTTCTGAGATCATGAAAGATGAACTTGCCGAATAACATTGGGTACAAAAAAGCCCACTTTCAAAAAAAATACCCGTTCAGAGGTTAGCATTGAGCATACGCTTGTGAAACAGCCAACAAGCTCTAGGTGGGGTACAAAAGCGAATGATGCATGAATGACTTGCAAATGTAGGTCTGGTAAGTCGAGTTGTTCTGAATAAACTACGTGAATACGCCTTTCACAATTTTTCACAATCACTAACTTTGTCTTATCTTGTAATATGGCAAGCTACGTAAAAAAGCGATCAAGTTTGGATTGCTCTTTTCCATCTGTTTGCATTGGAACCTTCTTCATTCTGACTTTCAGAGGGTGGCACCACTGAACTACATTGCGGTGCCCACTGAGTCATTTTGTGCCAACAAGAGTATGGTTGTCGTTATTCATGTAAAGTCACATGACGTACTCACTCGAAATACATTGCGTAGAACATACGGAGATAAACGACTGGTGGAAAAAGTACGTTCTGTTATGGGGTATCAAATTTGTTTACGCTCTAATAGTTAGTATCAGTTTAAGTTCAGTTACAGTCTTCTCTTTTCCGTCGGCAGGGCGGGAGGCCCAGAGGAACAAGAGCTCTTGAGAGAGGAAGCTCGACTTATGGAGACATTCTTCAAACAGACGTTGTCGATGCTTACAGAAAGTTAACATACAAGGTATGTTCTCCGTCTGTCTTTTGCTAAGTATTATCCGGCTGCACGTGCAATAGCAGAGAATTCCTGACTTAGCCAGATATATATCTATGCTTCGACTGATCCTATTACAAGCAATAAGGTATACCTATGCACGCACTTTTAGCCTGTGTGAGTATGGGAATTGAAAAATTTTAGAGTGGAGAGCTAACGAGCTATACCGTAAATTATAGAAATGTGAGATCTTTCTGGTCTGTAGGCTCAGCCATTCACGACCATGTATGTTCCCACAAAATTATGGGTTTCTCTTCCTCGGAAGCAAAACTTGCACGAATACCTATAAATGAAGAAGTGCTATGCGGAAGGCATATACAGCAAATACGTTGATTTGTTAAAGTGGATCTTCCCCGAAGATAGGTTGTCTTTGACCGCTGGATAAAGGAGGCCGTAAGTGAAATATGGTTTTTAGAGTTTTATACATGGTAAGGAACGGAAGAAGAGTTTTTCTGACAGAAAGCAGTAGATCACCGGTAGGGGCTGATTATGGACGGTCCTTGCTTCCTGTTTCCACAATTTTTGCAACTAAATTGTCGTGGCTGAAGTAGCAAAAAGCAAAGGCTCAGCAAATAAGCCTTCCCCTTTACCTTTGGGAAGCAGTAGTATCAGGAGCGATTAGATAGCTCAACCATGTTCCGACAAAAAGTATGAGCTCAATAATTTTTGCCAGTTTTTAGAGTGATAGGAGGCCAGAAGAATTGCTGAATTACTGAATTACTCCCCATGGCAGACCATAGTTGCGAAATTTAGCAGTGTCATACGATCGATAGCATCACAAACGGAACCTTGTCAACCGCTAAGTTTTCTGGAAGTCCACCGGGTGGTAGGTGGTTCCAAAGGGTGCGAGGGTTTTGAAGGGTGCACATTGGCTAGTGGTCATTAATCAGGGCCAATAGGTAGGGACAGATAGTTTCTCAGAATCGGGAGTTAGGCCAAGTGTTTGGAGCAGATAAGTTGTCAGCGACCAGCTCCAAAGTGTCACCATGTGATGCACGCAGTAGTGTGTCCTCTTATGCGTTGAGCGGCCGCTCTGGGAACGATCTGGTCAGAACTTTAGGCACTCAGTGATTATTCCACCTAGCAGCTTTGTAGGCACAAAGGAGAAGAATGGCTCAGAGTATAGCTTGATAGCTTATGACATGGTTTAGAGATTTGCGCAAGTATCGGCAACTATGTTCGTGCCCTGTGGTCCGTACAGGGTCAATCGCATGTCGTTGAGTCCGCAAGGTGATAAAGGTGTCTGACCCGCTGGTAGGAAGGGATGGTCGTATGTGCTGGTGCCAATAATTAAAAGAGTAGCGGCAACATCAATGGAACGTTGCCATTGCTCTTAGGCGTCGTGAAGTGTGATGTCTCCGTCGAGTTGGAAATTAATGACAAATTAACTTATTATAAATGTAACTGCTAGAAGGCTGCAAGCTAATTTTGTGTGCATTCTGAATGTAAATTCTGCGATTCTGAATGCAAGGCGAGTAAGTGCGCATCAAATAGAGCGAGCATATATGTGCTTCAGTTCCTCTTTGTAACTAGGAGTGGTTTGTTGAATGCTTTCCGCGGTTTCTGGATCTAAGGGCTGTGTAACCGAGAGACCGCTGACACCAACCTCCGAAGCAAAATCTGGGACGGCAAATTCCTGCTGTACTAGACCTACTGCAAAAGTGTTGTTATATTAAGGAGGAAGAAACTACTAATTTTTGAAGGCATTCAAATAACCGCTAACTCTATGTCTCGACGGTTCGCGATCAGGTATCGAAGTTGAAAGTATGGCGTCAGGAGGTTAGAGTGGTCCGCGACGAACAACCTTGTACCGGTTTCGCGGCAAAAAATTCTAAGGGAGGGGCGCTATAGCGCAATATAGGTTCAGTGGTTCCTCCTTTTTTCCAGTGACTCCGCCTCCAGACTCCGCTCCAATGCCCGGCTTTCAGTGAAAAACGAGACTGCAGGATGAAAAAGCGAAAATCGTCACTTGTACGATCGCAGAGCTCTTATCGGTGAATCAGCTGTGCGTATGAGGGCGTAGTGTGGGAGATAGTTAATTGGGCACGTACAAACTGGGATCAAAATGGGGTTCTATCTAGGGCAGGTGGCATGTTTTTTGTGCTTTTTTCTTCACTGTCGAGTTACTCAACCCCTTGTCGTCTATATGGAACCCCCTAATCCACTATCTGGATGGCAAGTAATCGCGGGTCCTGCCTTCAAGAAAGTTGTGTCCATTAAATGGTCGAAGAACCCGCTTTAGACAGAAATCTTCCGCTCATTTCTACCGTTCGGGACAATTACTCTGATGGTGAAGCTGCAGCAAATTGTTGTGCTTATTAGCTATAGAAAACCTTCAGAACTATAAGACCGTGCAGGTTCCCTACAGGTTCCCTCTTTTGGTTACGTCTGGACAGAATAGTTTACTAAATGTGAAAAACTTGTTTGTGTTTGTATTTCTGGTGTGGAGCCACCGTGCAAGCTTGCAATAGCTCCAGTATATTTTGTATAAACTCTTCTCAAAAAAAGGAGTTATGCTCACCGCTTTGCAGAGATAATTTGTGGATGGTGGTGTGCATTTCAAGAGGATCGAAGTTCAGTAGGAGGAGCGCCTTTCCTTACAGCAGGCGACGTGACCGCAGAAGTTAGGTGCATATATTATTAGGTTGTCGCATAGGTTCTTATACACGTGTTTGATCCTCTCCTATTTCGTTCGCATGGATGTTGGTATTACGTCATCACGTGTGCGTGACGTGTACATTATACTCTTTCATTACACTAGCTATCACTCACCGAGCTTGCATTTGCAGTACACAATGTCGCACAATTTGCACTGTGACAAAACGTACCTGCGCCACTGTTTGGTTTTGCTCCACGATTTCGGCTGGAATGCAAAGGAAGCCCAAGCTGGTGGACATACGGTGAGGACGTCATCTCTTACATGACATGCAAGAATTGGTTCGCCAAATTCAAGAAAGGAGACTTTTCTCTCGAAGATGCTCCGAGGTCGGGTCGGCCGATGGAGTTGGATTTGGAAGTACTACGTTCCACCGTGGAGGAGGACCCGTACCTCACCACCAGAGAGGCGATCATGCTTAGCTATGATCATTCGACGGTTGCACGTGGACTTCACTTTCTCAACTCGTTGATCAAGAGGCTTCACTTTCTCAACTCGATGATCACTGGAGATGAGAAGTGGGTCCTCTACGATAACCCTGTGAGGAAGCGGCAGTGGGTCGACAAAGGAGAACAGCCAGAAGCCACCCCAAAGGCCGACCTTCACCCCAAAAAGGTTCTCCTGTCCTGTTGGTGGTCCAGAAGAGGCATGGAGTACTGGGAGCTGCTGGAGAAGGGACAGACGATTGACGCTTCCACATACGTGACCCAGCTGCGGAAATTGAAAGATCACGTCGACCGTACTCGTGGAAGGAATGCGGAAATCTACTTCCACCATGACAACGCCCGACCTCACACTGCAAAGGCGACCCAGGCCGAGCTGGAGAAGTCGCCCACCCTCCCTACAGCCCTGACCTCGCTCCTTCTGACTACTGGCTGTTCAGCCACCTGCAGCGCTATCTGGACGGAAAAAAGTTCGAAACAAAGGATCAGGTCAGAAAGGCGCTCGACGACTTCTTCAAGTCCCAGCCTCCGTCGTTCTGGAAGGATGGAATCGACAAGCTGCCTGAGCGCTGGCGTCGAGTAGTGAATGGTGATGGTGCATACCTCTAATCTCCAGGCTGGTTCGTTTTTGAGATATTTACAAAAAAGTCGTGTATAAGAACTTATGCGACAACCTAATATCTACAAGGGGGTGGGACGTATGGACACATCTTCCTGGAGGGTCGTACCGACCGGGCGAATTTCCGCGACGTGATGCGTGTGCCTGAATCCGTCACACTACACTGATTTCGCGATTGTGTGGTGAGCAGGTTGAATACGAAACCAACAACTGCTGAAAAGGTTTTCTTTCGACATCATAAAAGCCAAGTCCGTCTGATATGCGCTACAGTAACAGCAAAGTAAAGATGGATTGTAAACTTTACAACGGAAACTTAAGAAGAATTTCTGATTCAAAATTCACAACCAAATCAGTGCCATGGCTGAAGGCGACCGAGATTCAGATCTGCTCATCACCCGGTTTTGCTCTTTTTACGATGTTTCTCCAGCAGGAAGCGAGCGGAATGTACGGGGTTTAAGGTGTTACAGCCCGTCACCAAGCTACACTGATTGGTAGAAAGCTGAACCATTTCACCAACACAGGCTCCGACTGCCGTGCTTTGGAACCAGCCCTTGAGTACCTTCTCCACTTCAATGATCTGATTGAAGAGCTTCTTGAACCGCTGCAAAAAAAACCTCCGCTGCGTCTTCCCCAGTTCAGCTTCCATATGGTCGGAGCCTGTTGCTTTGCCAGCTTCCATTTGCCTGAGAGCTACGTTTCCTGTACTAATATCCTCTGACGGGACTATACGTTGGTGAAATACTGGGAAGAGATGGATGGGAGAATCCTACCGTTGAGTTGTCCTCAAAGTAATTACGCCAACGTTGCATTGAACTCCTTCAGCTCATAATTATGTGGCCATTCCCGCCGTTTATGCAGAAAAAACCCTTTCTATATCCTCGTTTGGCAGTAAAGACATTGCACGTGGATATAGGTGCTGCTCACTATGCGCGTCTCCACTTTCTTGCTGAAATTATCGGAATGGGCGTTTTTTTACTGCAGCTACAAACTGCTTTGCAGCAATCCTGATTGCAGCAATCCTCTTGATGATTTCGTCAGTTGTCAGCTGACATGTTCCCAATAAGACACGTGATAGAGCCTCTTCTTCTAGCAAACCTTCACTTTGGCATTGTCCGTCCACAACCAGGTGAAGTCGGAGAGTGCAACTGTTCCAAAGTGAAGGGAGGCAGAAGGAGAACTACTGCTCACAACTGTTTTCTTCTTGAAATTGTTCAAACAACCTTAGTGCAGTGCGGCAGTCCGGA